CCCTCTCTATGGGTAGTAGAAACCAAAAGCCCTTGTGTCCAATTCAATTTTTTTTTGGTGAGAGCGACATCTGGTGGTTCATTTATAATTACACGGCTTCCCTGTATTTAACTAGGAGTTGTTAGAAATTCCAGACTCTGCTTTGTAGTTAACACCAGCTAGCTATTGAGAATCAAGTTTGTACAACAGGTAGAACACAGCTTGGGAAAGCCCAGTGCTCCATTTAGATGTAATCTCTTTTGCATACTAGTCATCCCTGAGGATTTGTTTTAGTGTGTGAAGGACAAACATCTGTTTTGAGGATTTCTGTATAATTCAAACACTTTAACAGTTTGAATCTGTGCCAGTCTCTCTGCTTTATTTTTGATGAGATGAGGCCCCCATAAAAAGATGATTCTAGGAAGCTGCTATTCTTAATAATTTTAATTAGAGTGATCAAAGACAGTATGATTGAGGAAGTATTTGGTAGAGCTAAAAATCAAAGGATTATTAAGGGTCAGTCATGGGGAGGATGGAGTGAAGACCATTCTGAGAAAGAGGAGACAGTGAAGAGAGCTGTGGCTGACGCGATTCAGCAAGGCAGGTAGATGAAGATGTGGCCTGATGCCTATGGTGTTGTTGAAGGTCCTAAAGATTGTGAAGATTTTGTGTGCACTCTGAGTACGATGGAAAGCTGATAAGGAAGTCTAAAACACTGGGATGGTATGTACTTATTTAAAGAAGAAATAAATAATTGTACCATTGTATGAAGAATTCAGTGGAATGTGTCAGGAAGGAAGTTGGGAGGTGGGTGAGGTGGCCCTTGTGAAGGTGCTGGTGATTTGCACGCTGACAGTTGGGATGGAATACTTTGAGGTGACAGTTGTGATGGAATACTTTGAGGATTAGGGTGGGTTTTGGTGAGTTCCAAATACTTGGAGGAGGAGCTCAGATTGATAGTTATGGTTATGAAGGAGAATTCCAAGTGAGGATATAGGTGCATGATTGATCTTGTGTGTGTGTTTCTGTGTGTATCAGTGATGTATGTGTGTGTATTTCTGAGTGCATATGAGTATATGTCTGTTTGTCTCCTGTTGTGGCTTTTGAATAGGCTAGTCACATGGAGGAAAAGCATGCCCTTTGTGGCACACATTCATTCACTGGGTAAGCAGAAAGACTAGCTTTGGAGCATTGTGCATGTAGATCTGAAATGAAGGTCCGTGGGATGCTAACTATGAGCAATTCCTGCTACTTCTTTGTTTCATGTGTATGACTTGTATAATGTATAATGTATATGCTTAATGTAATGAGATTGAGGAATGAAAGATAACTCCATTGAAGATCCCCCTCTTAAAATAAGCCTGGTTTGATTTGTAGGCTATTTTACCAATCCTAACTGCAATAAAAATAACATAAATCTCATTTAAGATCACACAGGTTTCTGTAACAGGAATATTACTAGTCAAAGCTGAACTATTCTACTGCATGCTCTCTCCCCCTCCTCATATTCATCTTCTTTATGCATGTGCCATTCTTGATTCTTGAGAAACTCATATTTTTTCTTTTTTTAATCCCTTTTTAGGACATCTTTGAAGATGCCTTGGAAACCATCTCTATGTAAGTCATATTATAATTAAAATATGTTGTAGCAAAAAGTTGATGGTTTTCCTGTATGAAATGTAAATATTTCATTCTAAAGCTTTTGAGAGTAGTGTTTATTGTTAAGAAAAGGCCACAGCTATGAAACTGAAGTCTGATCTTGCTTCAGAAAGGATATTTCTTTTTTTCTTCTCCTTTTTTTTTTTTTTTTGTTGGTTGTGGGGCTTGAACTCTGGGCGTGGGTGCTGTCCCTCAGCTCTTCAGCTCAAGGGGAGCGCTCTACCACAATGCCACTCCCGATTTTCTGGCGGCTAATTGGAGATAAGAGTCTCAGGGACTTTCCTGCTGGGGCTGGCTTTGAACTACAATCTTCAGATCTTAGCCTCTTGAGTAGCTAGGATTAGAGGCGTGAGTCACTAGAACAGCTTCAGAAAGGATCTTTCTGGTTTTTGTTTTTTTTTTTTGCCAGTCCTGGGGCTTGAACTCAGGGCCTGGACACTGTCCTTGAGCCTCTCTGTGCTCAAGGCAAGTGCTCTACCACTTGAGCCACAGTGCCACTTCTGGCTTTTCCTTTGTATGTGGTCCTGAGGAATCGAACTCAGGGCTTCATGCATGCAAGGCAAGTGCTCTACCACTGAGCCACCTTCCCAGCCCCAGAAAGGATCTTTCTTTGTAATCCTCTCAAGTATGTTTCTGAGCATCATTTCTTCTGACATTAAGTAAAATTTCCTGACAAGTAATTTTGCTTATTGGTAACCCTTTTGATACTTGTCTGTATCTATTTATCTGTATCTATTTATATGGAAAGCTGAATATTGCAGATTTTTGCTTTTGGTTTGCACTTAATTTTATTACAAATATTTTCTATATGCCCACATAGTTTTTGTAATATTTTGAAGTGACTATAAATAATGTTTTTCAGTGAGCCAGAGGTTCTGTTCTCAAATAGGAACAGGTTTCACTGCGATCACCGAGACCCACTAGCTGCACACTACAGCATTTGTGCGGCTCCCAGCTCTCCCTGGCTGTGTTAGGATCATTAATAGCTTTACCTTTGCTACATGTATTAGTTTTTTTTTTTTTTGTCAGTCATGGGGCTTGAACTCTGGGCTTGGGCGCTGTCCCTGTGTTCTTCAGCTCAAGGCGACCATGCTACTGCTTGAGCCGCAGCGCCACTTCCGGTTTTCTAGTGGTTTATTGGAGGTAAGAGTCTCCTGGAGGGGCTGGGAAGGTGGCTCAGTGGTAGAGCGCTTGCCTTGCATGCGTGAGGCCCTGGGTTCGATTCCTCAGCACCACATAAGCAAAAAGCAAAAAGCCGGAAGTGGCACTGTGGCTCAAGTGGTAGAGTGCTAGCCTTGAACTGAAGAGCTGAGAGACAGCACCCAGGCCCAGAGTTCAGGCCCCACAACTGGACCAAAAAAAAAAGAGTCTCATGGAGTTTCCTTCTCTGGGCTGGCTTTGAACCGCAATCCTCAGATCTCAGTCTCCTGAGTAGCTAGGATTATAGGTGCCAGCCACCAGTGCCTGGCTAGTTTTTTTTTTTTTTTT